CAAAAAAACGCGTGACTAACGTTGGTTAAGTGTAAGTTGTTAGTATTTCCAGAAAAATACTTCAACTAAAAATAAATAGAATAATATACCTATGTTCTTTGTATACCTTGTATTGTATTTTAGTTACCTATTTATTTGTCAATATTGCATATTACAATTGAAATGGTTTTCATCTAAAGTGTTTGGTTTTACTGTCACCGGTAATGATTTATTAATAATTATCATACTCATGCATCATGCTGTGTAGACTATTATTAATTATTTATTATTTATTATATTATTGTTTACTAAGGACTATAGTAAAATATTGGAAAATAATATTTTTTTGGATATCAAAGAATATATATCGAACTTTGTTATATATAAATAAAGCTTTTAACTTTTGGTGAATTTTAGAATATAATTTTTTTTGTATAATTAATTATAATATAATTTTGAATTTACTAACATGAAATATGATGTAAGTGAGAGAAAAACAGCTGCAAGGAATTGAAATCCGAACAATTTATTTTAAACATTTGGATAATGCCGTTTTAGTTTAACGGGTGCAAGATGTATAAAGACGATTGATATTTAAATTCTGAGAGAACCTGTCGATATAAGTGCTAAAATTAGGTAAAAAGTGAATAAATTGTGTTACATAAACAAGCCAAAATAGATATTTAAATGGGTGTTTCATTCCAGATATTAGATTTGGAACATTGATGTTCAAAAACGCCAAACGTAAGATCTTATTATCTTAATCAACGCATGTAGTATAAGATCCTATTATTCATACCTATTCAAATGTTTAAAATTTTAAATAAAATTGTTTATTTACTGTTTATTTAGTACTTTATATGTGCATAAACAACTAATTATATAGGTACTATATTACATTACTATTTATTAAACGCAATACAATTCTCAAAATATATTCATAAGTTTTAAGCTATTTATAATTTTAATAGTTGAATGTACGACTATACAGTATATTCACATCGTTTTGTGTGCAGCAAATAGATAACTAAAAAAGGTTCAAATATTAATCCACAATCATACTTTAAAAAAAAAAATGTATAAGACATTGCATCTACAATCAAAAAACTTGTGCCCAAATGCAAACGTACGCTAAAAAAACCTACGCTGCAATAAGTGTGTAACCAAAAAAAAAAAATATTTTGAAATTTTGCAAATAATCAAGGTTTTTATTCAAAAAGAAATTACCTAGTCTAAAGTTCCAAAATATATTTGTAGGTAAAAGTGATGAATTATTTTCAGCTGAAGGTAAAACATTTCCTCTTCTGTAATAAACATGTTCTTGAATTTTGAAGATTGGCATAAAGTTTCTGGCCAGACTCAAGCTCAAGATAATTCTTGTTTACAGAGAACGCGTGAGGCCAACCACCGGACCATACCAGGCCCCAGATATGTAGTTTTTATTTGGAAAAAATTATTTTGCATTGTTCTATTATGGTGAGAAAAAAATTTTAATTGGCGATATAAATATAAAATATATAATTCTATGTTTTAGATTAAAACTTTAAAACTTTTAATAACTGAAAAACACACACATAATTGTGTCAAATCTATATTGTTTATGATGTCATTGCTCAAAAAACCGCATGAGCCCATCGCATGACCTTGTTCACCTGCACCAGCAAAACGAAACCAATAATCACGGAAGAGATGGAAAACGTAAATTAGGCTCGCTGTATCAACAAGCGTAGTATATGCGTAACACAACGCAGTACTCGTTTGAACTTTCACGTGGGCCGCAGCTGTAGTAATTTTTCCTAAAAGTTTTTGAGCCAATAACTGCAGCTGTCGTAACAAGTCATTCATGATGTTATTTCTGCCTGACTGGTTCCTCGACAACTTCACATTTCTGAGTTTGATCGCCGTTTTCGTGAGCTTCTACTATTATTCGACATCGACGTACGGTAAATGGCAGAAATTGAACATTCCGTACTTACCACCAGTGCCACTGTTTGGCAACACGTTCAGAATGATGTTGAACCTCGAACATCCAATTGACACGTTTGAAAGGTTCTACTACAGTTTTCCAGACGCAAAAGTCTTCGGATTCTACCAGATGAGGGAGCCGATGCTGTTAGTCCGTGACCCGGAGCTCATCAACAGGATACTGGTAAACGATTTTTCATACTTCACCGATCATGGTATGGACATGGACCCGTCCTCGACTGTGGTAGCCAACAGTCTGTTTTTCACCAATGGCAAAAAATGGAGGACAATGCGCCAGCAACTGAGTCCAGGCTTTACGTCCGGCAAGTTAAAAGATGCGTATTTTCAAATCAACGAATGCGGCAACGAGATGGTATCTGGCCTTGTCGAGAAGCTAGGGAAAACTAACATTATAGAAGTGAAAACGATGACTGATGGTTTTTCCACAGACGTAATTGGAACTTGCGCGTTTGGTCTGAAACTGGATGCGATCAAGAATGATGAGTCGGACTTCCGCCGGTACATTAGATTGTTTTTCCACAGCTCCTGGAAACAGATGATTTTCCGGGTGATGGCAATGACCAGCCCCTGGGTGAACAAGCTATTAAAATTACAAATGTTTTCTGAAGAAGCTACCAACTTTTTCTATAAGGTGTTCACTGACGTCGTCAATTACCGTGAAAAGCACAATGTGGTCCGGAACGATTTGGCGCAAACATTGATGCAAGCGCGAAAAGAATTAGTGTTGAACCCGACCTCCGAAGGTATATTATATATAACAGAATCATAAAATTTTTCAATTTTTTTTTTTTTTGGTCTTAATAATACTAAGAAATTTGAAGCCAATACTTTAAAACAAGTGATAGAATATAGATTAAATTATTTACTTTTTCATCTGCTAACCTATACTCGGAGAT